GTGAGCTCACAACGTGAACGGGCAGGGCCCTCCCTGTGCCTGATAAACCAGGGTGATGGCATCCACTATCCAGTGGGCCATCCTCTGCTTAGAGACGGCATTCCCCTTCTGCCGGCCTCTGTGACAGACAAAGAGCTGGTCTGAGGTCCTGAAGCTTTGTGTCAACATTGTGAACATTGCATGGCCCAGAGACCGCGCAGTAACCTTCGTCGCTCGTAACGCGAGGTCAGTAGCAGTACAAAGCTCTTTAAGAACTTCTGGGTCGTGACCACCCTCGTGCAGGTCCTTCAGTGCCTTGGCCTGATGAACCTGCAACAACGCCATGGCGTGTAGGGCAGAGGCCTTTTATTATTTTGTATAAATATTAAATATGAATATAAATTATAATATTTAAATATAATTGTGATTATAAAATGTATCACAATTATAAAAATTAATACAATATTATTAACTAATAAATTAATAATTAATTACTAAATCATCTATTCGTTTATTTAATTGTTTATTTATAGAGAAGTACAAATCAAGTTTTAAACTGTATTAACACGCCCCAAGTTTAAGTACCAAAAATCACAAACCTCAAAGTAAATAAAATGGAATGACTCGTATAATAATATAATCCATCCCGAGGTGGACAGATAGTATCTTCTCAATGTTAAGCACATCTCTCACGGATGTAACTTTTCAACTTTCTGACATTATTAAGCTCGTTCGTGGAACTGCTGTTATTCGCTGGAGTGAGTCTGAGTCTCTGTGCCAAGAAGCTCCAGCATCACAGACTCGAGTAAACACTGCGCTAGATTACACCAAAGTCCTGGCAGAGGATCAGCGGTGACCGTCTCCAATCTGCAGCGTTTTATGTTATCGCAGAAACAGCGTTCAGCCGCCGCTGTGTTTAATCACAACATAAATACACTTCCCCGCATGGAGGAGGATGTTTTGCTTGCGTTCTCGTGTGTGGGAGCGAGGGAGGCCCCTCTGAATGCTCTGTGAGTGTTTCTGATCTGTGCTTTTGTCCCGGAGCAGGTCGAGGCGGTCGTGTGGCGGCCCACAGCAGGACGCTGTCCTCCTTCATCGTCAAAAACATCGCCCTGGACAAAACCGACGACAGCAACCCACGAGAGGCCATCCTGCGTCACGCTAGAGACGCCGCTGAGAACCCGTACTGGGTCGCCCCGGCCCATAAACAGTAAGACAGAGACCAGAGAGGCGAACATCAGACTGACAGATACATGAGTGCTGTTCCCTAGTGACGTCTGTGGAGAAAAAAATACCAATTTAATTTGGATACATTCAGTGTATAGTCATATATGTGACCCTGGAGCACAAAACCAGTCTTAAGTTTTTGTGCTCCAGGGTCACATATTAGTTTTTAACAAATATGTTTTTATATTTAAAATAATTTAAATTTTCGTATCATTTTCGTTTTTGTTCAGTTTAGTTTTATCAGTGAATTTTTAGTTGCATTCAAGTTTTTCTTTTTTTCAAGTTTAGTTTTAATAATAGGTAATATACAAAAGCATTTCCATAATTTCTACAAACGAAATAAGAGTGTTTTTTTAACTTAATATTGACATGTAATGTATTTCATTACAACTTTTAAATATGAAAAATACACACACACACACACACACACACACACACACATATATATATATATATATATATTAATTGCACTTAATTATATTTGTATATTTTTAAAACAAAACATTTTCTTTTAAAATTTCATATTTTTTGTATTTTTAAAATTGTTTATGATTTAGTTTTTATTTTGTAAAGTATTTTTGTTTATATTTTATACTATAAGTTTCTCTTTTATTCTATAATATTTTACAAATAAATCAGGCAGGTGTTTCGAACTTACTGACAATGTATTTTATAAACTTTTAAGTATATATTTAAGAATATTTATAAGTTTGTAAAATATGTTCGTAAAAATAAGTCTAGTTTTATTTTAAAAAAATGTTTTAGTTTTTAATTTTTTTGTTTCATTTTGTAAAGTATTTTTTTCTTTATTTTAAATAGTAGTCAGTGTACAGAAACAAGCATTTATATAATTGTTTACAAACAAAATAACCTATGAAGTTTTAAATATGCTTAAAAAAATAATTAAATATAAAAAAAATATATATATATATAATTTTTATTTTTTTAATGGCATGGTCAATTGTAATGGTCATTGCAATTTAATAATTTATTAAATAATAATTTCTTAATAATTGATTTGATTATTCAATAGAATTTGCTTTGCTATTATAGTTAGGTTTTCGCACTGAGCATCGACTGATGCCTGATGGGATTGTCTTTTATTTGAAGAATGCATGCGATGCTGCTATAAAATGTGGTCAGAATGAGGTCACATCCCAGAAGGCAGCTCAGGTCCAGGTGAGACAGGTGTGGCAGACAGAAAGTGTTGCTGGAGTTCACCTGACACCTGTGTGTCACACCTCAGCTCACAGATGCACTCATGTCTGAAAGATCTTCAGCTGCGGCTCTGAAGGGTGAAGGGTGGTGCTATTCACGAGCACTTCACCATCCCAAAATAACAAACACACTGACCCCGAACAGTGTTTCAACACCTGCAGATGCCTGACTGTCATTGCATTACATGAGAAAATACAAAAGCAAACGAGTAAAAAACAAGATACCATACCTGCATATGTGATTTGCATCTAATGCAGTGACAGTCAGACATTTGTAAGTGTCCAGATATTAATGTCTAGGAAAATCAATAAATCATTCCTTATCTTATGCTTTTTGGGTTTTTCCTGTACAATGCCGATTATCATCAGATTATCATCCACAGTGGTTGTCAAAAATGCAATTTATTTGTTATTTTCTTCATACTACAGATGGATTACATATATTTATTTACATTTTTTTATTTAATTATTATATAAATAACTATATATATTTTTATTAAATTAATTGCTGTTTTTATTTAACGTTTATTGGTAGAAAAAGACTAGCTTTAATCTTTGAAG